CCGTTCTCATTGGTGGATACTGAGAACTGTTTCTCGTTTATGAATGAATGTGATTTCATGCTCCCTTATTGGCCAAGACTGGGAACAGTTCTCAGAGCTACAAAACATTCTCAGTTTCCAGTTGAAAAGTGCATTTTCCACTTTGACATTGCACTCTGTTAAGCTTAAATGTAAACATAAATATATTACAGGTCATTAAGAAATATCTTTTTGACAAGAAGATAGTAAATAAACAAATTCAACTTAGTGATGTTTTTGGCGCTGGTTGAAGTTTTTAGGGCCCGGAAATTTGAAGTGAAGTGGAGTTCCCTTTGAGCAGTTCAGTTCCACTGATCAACATTATTCTAAACCATCAGAATTGTTGACTGTGGAAAATCAGGTGGTACGTTATGTGGTACGGCAAGAGTCGGAGGAAATTCTGGAGCACTGTTCATCTGTTTCCCCCGTAAATGGAGATCTTTGTTGACACGATGGGGATGAAAGTGACATGAGAGACTTTTGGGTGGGGCATAGTGCCGGAAAGAAAATGATTCCTTCTGATGAGGATTGTAAGACAACTTGTATGTTGTCATGTTTGTTCCCAGGCTTTCCATAGCTGCTTCTTTCTTCCACTTTTCCTGAAGCTTTTGTAGAAGTCCATAGTTTGTGGGATGTCCTAGAAGAAATATAAAATACTAAAATCAGGCCCCAATTAACTTTGCATGATGATAGTGATCCCCAAGTTCTCCTAACTGGTAGGCTTGATTATCAGCCGCTGATCAGGAAAGGAGCCCACACTCCTTCCTTACAAGACAGGAAGGAACATAGACTGGACTTGAGAGCGTGACAGAAATCAAGCCTACCGTACTGGCTGCTACATATTTCCCCAAAGATAAGTTTATGGCCAGGATAATTTGATCATATTATGTGAAGACCATTTTCTGTAAGGATTATCATGGTAACTCAATTTATTGCTCCCATGGTCCTGACTTGTCGCCAGTCATCTTCAAACAACAGTGCTAGGCACAGGGTGAGTTGGGAGCACATCACCCCTTGCTCACCTTGCGATGTGCTTTGTGGTGTTGTATGAAGGGACTAGGAACGAGTCAGCTCATGATCTGTTAAAGTGCTTGTGTGAGAGGTGTTGGAGGGGGGGGGGGTGTGTGCAGCATAATGCTAGAATTTATTGAATGGTGAAGTTTGGGGCATGTATACATATGTCACACAAACCTTGTATAGGATAATCAGATTTTTCCGGTGCCCAGGCCAGCTTCTGCCTGTCCCAGCTCCGTAGCAGTGGCAGCTTAGACTCGGTGATTTCACGCTTGTTGAATTGCTGGTCATACCATGATATTCTGTTGCCTTCATAAGCTTTTTGATGATGAGAAAAAATGAATTCTTTTCCTAATCCCTGAAAGAGCAATCAAAGCTTAAGAATATTATATTAGAATACTGTTATAGTGTTAATGAATTAGGTCAGCGCTTGGACACAACAAATATGACCACTTGTTGATAGCCTAAAGATGGGTGATGACCTGTTTGTCTGGCCTATAGGAATGCAAGGAGTTCAGCTGAATTTTTAAATTGATCCCCATCCTCCAAGACTCAACAGCAGTTATTTTGGGCAAGATAAAGTTGGCATCAATAATCAAAGCTGGTTTTACTTTGTCCTATCCCAACTAACTGTCTCTGGATCTTCAAAGATGATTTATTCCATAACAGAGAAAATAAAATTTGGCTTCTTTTAATTATTGGCTTACATTGTGTTGCTGAAGTGCTTTTCTCCTGGTTGTGACATCAGGAAGAAACTTTCCATAGTTCTTGAAATCTACTCGGTGAGTACTGTCAAAGAAGGAGGAGCCTCGTTCAAACTAGGAAGAAAGAATAAAAGATCAGAAATTGTTCATTTATTGAGGAAACAAATATCAACAATATATTCCAGAGACCATTCAGTGGCATTGATCCCTTGGTAGAAACAAAGATACTTTGCAAGGCACAGTGGCGTACTTGGATGACGTTAAAAACTCCAGTTAGCAGACCCCCTGATACAGAAAAAAATTGTTGGGAACAGGGTAGGAGGGGAAGGGGGTTGGCAGATGTCCCATCCAGGGGAGGATAGTAGTATGCCTAGTTTCTTCATGCTGAAGGAAATCCAACAATAAATTGTTAGAGTTCCAATAAAAGTGCCAGGACATGTGAGCCTCTTAGCTCCTGATCCTTGTAGGAGTAAACCAGGCTCTACTACTTTGGCCTAGATGGGATGTTAGTCAATTGTGACACATTTTGAAGCACTCAGATAAACCTAGCCTTTTTTGACAAGTGTTTTATACTTGCGAACAAGTGTAAAACACACGCTGATAATTTTTCTTACTACCTGGTGTGAAAATATCTCCGACATTTCTCAACAAAAGTTTTTAAAAATGATTCGTCTCTTTGCTTTTAAATTGTACATTCATTTTGTAAATTTCCTCTTCTATATTGTACGATCGTTTTGACAGGGTTTGATTCACAGCTTTGTCACGCAGATCGAAATGAGTGGAAATAATTAAGATGAATGCAGAGAAATTTAGTTTCTCTGTCTTGTGTACGAAAATTAGGAAAATTTATTTATTTATTTCAATTTATTTAAATAGCTAATATGTAAAAGAAAGAAAAACAACAAGTTAAAGTACCTAGTTACTATTAGATAACAGCCACAGCGTGGGAACCGGCTATTTTCCCAAATATATTGTTTACCTTTGCTACAGCTGAAAATACAATGATAAATCAGCGATCGGAGTTTTAAATGCTTGCAACAATAAATGTGAAATTCGAAACCATCTGTGTGCCATTTTGACGGCGCGTTTGCTGAAATAATTAAGAAACCCTCCTTATTAAACCATGGCAATTGAGCATCAAGTGAAAACTTAACTCTAAAACTTTTCAAGGTAAGTTTTAAGGACTAATTATGCACAGCTTGTTGGTTTTCTTTGTGTAAAAGAAATTAAGCATATTACATATCGGCGGAATGTACCGAAAGTGATCACAACCAAACTTTTAACCTACCACTCGTCTCTCTTCGTTCCAATTTCCAATCAAAACATCTGTGTCATACTTTTGTTCTATTCTCCAGCCCGGCTGATTCCATTTCGCATCCGCATGCTCTTCCATTCTTGTTCTCGAAGTTACGGAAAAAGCAATTAGGACTGTAATGAGAAGTATTTGTTTCGTTTCAATGAAAATTGTTGTCATGGACGCAGTGTTGCTAGGGAACACCTCCGCTTACCAATTATAACGATTTTACTTTTCTGACCCAGTTTCCTAAGTTATTACCCGGCCAATATGGTGACTTTCGGGCACATGAGAATCAAAATGTAACTTTTCCTCTAAGAGAAGAGAAATAAAATGCTTCTTGGAGATATTGTAAATGGAAAAGAAAAGTCTCACCTCGTTCTTGTCCATGGTGAGTGCTTTGGCCCGCATTTGTTTAAATCGCGCTTCAGAAGACATTTAAAAAAAAATCGAGATCGGTCTGTAGTGCCTGTAGGTTAGAAAGCTCAAGTTTAAGTCTTATGTCTTATCTGTATGCAACTCCTTTGCAGACACCGTAAATCAGGATGGTAAACCTTTATTATGCTGTTTCGTCAAATCACTTCTTGAAAGGTAAAAATTATGATATATTTAAGCCCATTTTGAAATTTATAATTTCCTCTAACAGTGAAGGTTCACATGCATGTACTGTTAATTGGGCCATTCCATTTAATATCCGCACCCCCCTATTGGGGTATTACTTGAAACCCCCCCTCAGATATCATTTTTTGAGAGGGTACCCCCGTGGATTTAGTTAAATTGGCCACCACACCCCCGGAAATTTTGCGACTTTAATTTTCGTACTTACAAACCTCTTACTGGGGAAAATGGCCAATACAAAATTGAAGGATCGCTTTGCGCTGTCTTTATATATAAATATATAATGTCATATTGATTTTTCACAAAATTCTACTCTTCACTGAAGCCCTGAAGAAACAGAAGGCACGTAACTTATTTACAAAACATTACTTCCTACACTAATTAAAATCAGTCACTTTCAGACAAAGAAACCTAGGAAATATGACTACTCAGAGCTAAATGGGGGTAATGATAGGGTATGTCAAGTGACCCCAAACTAAGAAGGATAGCTTAACAGAATAGCTATTAACACTTGAAGATAATCATGCATGTAATAACAATTATTATCTCTAAAATTTGAAATAATTTCCTTCCCATTTACACCGGCCAGGTTTTATGTGGCAAACGTAGGGGAGAATTGATTA